ATTATATGCATTAACCACTAGGTTATTAGCAATTAACTTTATATAGATCATTAGATTGAGTTATTTAGCTCTGTAATTACCAAGTAGTCAAGTGAGCACCCACCTTGATTGATGGATTTATCTCTGGGTTATGTATATCATTTTGGAGGGTTAGTGGCATAGCCATATCTAATATTTTAGTGGCCCGAGGCAAAATGATAATATTTTTGTTGAATAAATAATTTGTTTTTATAATTATAAATATTTATGTAATTTGTTAATTAATAAATAATTTTACGTAATTTGTTAATTACTTCATCTGTTATTTTAATTGCATTATTTTCACTTTTTCACTATTCAAACACCCCTTTTGAATTTCTTTTGTGATTTATTCGTTAGAATATCATATTTTTAACTAGTTATATGCAATAATTTATTACATCGCCCCATAATTTCGTGATTAATCAAATTATTACATGGTTATGACACACACAAAATGTGCATAATTACACTTCTACATTGGAATCCTTCTTTGACTTGACTCATTCTGTGAAAGAGTAATAAATTAACATATTTGTCCCAATCTATAAATATGAGCGAGAAATCAATAATAATCATGTTTCATAAATAATAAATGTAGCTTTTTCTTATAAAATAGAATTAAGGTTACATTAATTTTTTCTTGTTACTTATAATTATATAATTATATAATTCGGTTCACTTTTAATAAATGTATCATCTCATAATTAAATTATCACTTCTTATCATGCTTGTAAACAAGTCATTAAATAGAATTTATCACACAATCCAAGAATCATAATCTTCTTATAATGATGTCACTTCAATTTTTAAAGAATATAAAATACCTAATAAGATACTATGCGAATATTAAAAAATTCATACATGCATACATACCAAATAAAATTATGGTGAATAGCCACAACCACTAAAAATCATCTCACTTGATTCTCCTATATTGTAAAAATAATTATTGTCAAATAAAATTGCATAATTAAAATATTTTAAGCCTAAAACAAGAAAAAACCTTCTCATGTGATAAATAAAAACTTGTAGGAAAACTTCTGAAATGACTACTATCATCAGTAACACATACACATCTTAATCTCTTCCAATTCAAAGTCATTAAGATATCTTTATTTAACTACATTTATAATAAATCATTTTATGATAAATTAGACATTTAATGCAAGAAAAATAATCCCTCCATTTTTTAAAGTGCGCATCACTTTAATCGGAAATTTTTTTTTAAGAGATTGACTTGAATATAAATAATATGCACAAAAAATTGATACATTGTAAAAATTTCATAGTATCGACTAATTATAATAAATATTCAATCAAAATTATTAAAGGTAAAATAACGTTATTATAATAAATATACGATCAAAATTATTAAAGGTAAAATAATGTTATGTATCAACAAAATGTATATTAAAGTATTTCAATTACTTTAGGATGATTATTTTATTTTATTTTTTTTATTTACAAAAACTTTAGGATGATAAATTTTGTAGGGTACCCCTCCGTTTCTTTTTATTGGTTATTATCAGATTTTAAATATTATTCATAATACTTCATCCGTTTCTTTTTATTGGTTATTTTTAGATTTTAAACATTATTCATAATATTTTCCTCTGTTCCAAAATATATGAGACGTTGGACTTTTTTCACTATTCATGTATTAGTTTTGATCATAATTTATTCAAGGATATTTTAGATTTTAACACCTGCCAAAAACCCGAAAATGGTTTTTAACACCCCCCTAAAAAAACTTTTATTTTAACACTTGACAAAAAATATAAAAATGGTTTTTACCACCATATAACTGATTCCGTTTAGGAATCCGTTAAGTGGGTTCATGAGCCACGTGTCGCTTTATTATTGGCCAAAAAATAAAAAATAATAAAAAAAAAACCTAAAACTACCGAGCCACCCTAGCCCCACCGCCGCCCCACCACTGCCACCTTCTTCTTCAGCTTGACCCACAGCCAGCCTCGCAATGACCGGCGCACCACCTCCCCCTCCCTCACCGGCCGACCTAAACCCATCCCCACCCTTTTCCAGCAGCCCTAAACCACCCTAGCCCGACCACCGCCATCATCAGCCACGAATTTTTGGCCGTTGATTCAGCCACAAATTCGGCCATTGATGGCCGAAATCGGCTGGTTAAGGCCACTCAACCCCAAAATCGGTCGATTTCAGCCATTAATGGCCAAATTCGCCGGCATTTTTTGGGGAAGGAAGATTGCTCAGCCGTAAAACTACCACCCTTGAAATTCGTCGCCGTTTTCTAGGCACGATTTTCGGTGGGGGTTCTCGAATTTTGTCTGCGGGAAGCGAGTTACGTCGATTTCGGTGATAAGGAAGGTTCGGTGGCGAAACCCGATGACGGGGGGCTAGGAGAGGGTGGTTTGGGAGTTGGCCGGGGAGAAGGGCCACCGTTGGTGGATGCCTTCTGGTTGTTTAAGTTTTTTTAAAAAAATATCTATTTTTTTTGTTTTTTTTATTTTTTTGAAAACAAGTAAAATGGTGACACGTGTCACTGTGGACCCCACTTAACGGAATTTTTGGACGGAAACCGTTAAGTGGTGGTAAAAACTATTTTTATAGTTTTTGTCTGGTGTTAAAATAAAAGTTTTTTTTTGGGGTGTTAAAAACCATTTTCGGGTTTTTGTCAGGTGTTAAAATCTAAAATATCCTTTTTTTAATAACATAATAAAAATATATTTTATCATAAAATATGTTGTTAAATAGGTATATATATAAAGTTTCAAAATATAATTTTAAAATAATTTTCATAATATTTAATTATATACAAATGAATTCAAAGTAGTGCATTGACATGTGTGCAATGTTGACTGTGTTATGTATTCTGGGATAGAGGGAGTATTAGATAATATTCAAATTTACTCACAAAAGTAAAAGAGTCGTGTAAGATCATGTTTGATTTGTCTCAACGAATGCTCAATTAATATTCAATCGTTATAATTTTAAAAAGTATGTAATGAATAATATTCAAATAGGTGTATTAACAAACGTGTAAAAGTCAAAACGCATCCAATAAAAAGTGAAGAAGGGAGTATTATACTTTAGATATAGGGTAATTTTGTGAAAATTTAAGAAATTTTACCAACAACTACCATTATAATGGCTACTTTGAGAACAACTAACAACCATTTATTTATTTATTTTTTTTGTAAAAATAATCTAAAAAAATCTACCACAAAAACCTTGAGTAACGCAACTACATTTAATTTCTTGGCAATAATCTCCAATTAAGGGAGCTAAAAAATCGGCCGTTTCAACGACAAGGGGAGGGAGGAGGGGCGGTTTCATCGACCTGAGAAGGGAGGGGCTATTTGGGGGATGGGGGTGGTTTTGATGGTGTAGGTGGGTCGCCCGAGTGTTTTTAGGGGTAGGGAAAGGCCGACCGGCTGTTATCGGTTGCTAGGGGAGGCGGGCGATCGCATTTCGGTCGGGTTGGGAGTTGGGGTTAAGGGGAGAAAGGATGGTAGCTAGCTGGGAAGGGTTTTTAATTTTTTTTTTCTTTTTTTTTTTACAAAAAAATTTTGGACCAATTATGTTCGACACATCACACATGGCTTTTACAAAAAAAAAATCACCCTTTCTTCAAGTCACTAGTAAATCGATCTAGTGGAAGAAAATCAACCCAAAAGTTCATAGTGCTCCCTAATTAATGTAAGTTGGGATTATTGAGAGTAAATTGCTGAAAGTTCGGATTAATAAATTAAAGTGAATTTTTGTAAAAATTAAAACTTAGATTTTGGAAGCACCCAATATAATAGATCGAAAAGCGAAAACAAGTCGAATTCAGGGTAAATTGGAGGATGAAATGTAGTCGTTTGACTCTTGGAATTGCCCTTTTAATCTCTTTAGTTTTAATAAAAGTGTATTCCTTTAATGGAAGTGGTGTTACTTATGTTTGTTGGGAATTTCAATTTTAGATTTACATAAACCCGTAGTAGGTGTTGTTAAACCCATTTGTATGTGATATCGGTAAAAGTCATTACAACATCATGACCTTGTATGAGAATATATACTCCCTCTGTCTCACAATGTTGTTCCTGTTTCTATTTTTGAATAGTATGTAAAGACCATTATACCTTTATTTTTTTACTTTATTCATTGAACTTCTTAAGTTACCCTTAACTTATCCAATTGCATTGTACTTTTTTCACTTTCTCTCTCTAACTTTTGTCTATAATTGAACTTTTCACCTTTTTCCCCTTAAATTATCCACTTGCCTTGTACTTTTGTCTAATTCTTTTCCACTTCTCTTCCCATTTTTTTAAATACCGTGAAAAAAACACAATAGAATTTATATTATGGGACGGAGGGAGTATAAGATATGGTTTTGTTAGATCACAAAGAAATGTGATTGACATGTATGAAGCATATATCTCAAGAGGATTTTATCCATTTGAATTATTGGGGTCCCTTAGGGTAAGACATACTGATTTTGGGTTATCTCTATCATTTCAGCAACATTCATAGACTTTTAATTGTATGTTAGAAAATACCTTGCACAACACGAAACATCATCACCAACTTCCCTCGTTCTATCAATAGTCTCATCGCATGTTTAAATGTATATTGGTAAGCCCTATATGCGTTGTATTCACTCATTGTAATAGCTAAAAGGTAAATATCGTTAATGACCTTAATTGATATTGTGTAAGGGCTTCTTATGCCAATAGTAACTTATGTTACTTACTGTCCTTTTGTTTGTTGTAAACTCAATTTAATTAATGTAATTTCATCGTTTTTTTTTTAAAATCTTAAAAACTTACAAATAATTGATACAAGTTTTAGTGTATGGAAATATTTAAAAACATTTAAAACATGTTTACATAAAACCTTTATTAACTCCATCTGTCTCATAATTAGACGATCGTATAAAGACCCATCCAATTTATTTATCAGACGGATCTAACCCATATTATAACTATGGCGGGTCATGGCTTTTAAAAGGCCTCCATTCCTATTTCCTACCTCTCTGAGTTATTTCATTGAAGCGCGACTCAACGTTCTCCATTGAAGTGTTCTCCGTTGAATCTAATTCTTGTATCCCCCATTGAAGCAGCTTCTAAGGTAAGTTGTTTATTGTTGTTATCATCACATCAATTTCACAATCTAGGGTTTATATTTGATCTAATCTAATTTAATTATCAGTGCTTTAAATTTAGGGTTCGCAGATTCTTAGATTATGAAACATCATATCCAAAAGAAAAGAAAATTATGAGCGTAATTTGATTATTGAATTAAGTATCCCTAAAATTATGTATTTTTCGAGATAATTCAATATGAAATCAAATCTCTTTTCCCCGGGCCTAGGGCGGCTGCCCCTCCTGCCCTGCCTCAGGGACGGGCCTGGTTAGTGGTTTGGTGTTTCAGAATATTATTTCTCATGTAGGGTGGTCTATTTCCGTCTGGCATTCTTTTAACTGTAGGAAGCCAGTCATACTAGTTAGAATTCTGAGTTTGCCAAGTCGAGTTCTTAGTAGATTAAAGAAAGTTGTTTCAATCAAATCAATCAATCAAAACCTTAATCCTGTAAGTGGGTCAGTTACATGGACCAAAAGTGATTATTCCATAAAGTCATCCACAAAAATTTTTCTCCTCCATTCCTTACGATCAAATGCCTCATTCTCATGCAAATCCATATATTCCATATCCTTCCTAACTCCTTCCAACCAAGTCATTTTCGGTCTCTCTCCCTTATTTAATCCCTCCATGGTCCCACTCTTTCACTCTTCGTACCGGTGCACCCTCGGGTCTCTGTCTTATATGCTCGAACCAACGCAAGTGAATTTCCCAATGCCTGCCACATCTAGTTTCTTGCAAATAACCTCATTTCTGATTCTATCTCTTAGAGTGTTCCAGCACATCCATCTTAACACATCCATCTTAACATGCGCATTTCTGTAACCTCTATCTTTTTAATGTACTACTTCTTAGAAGCCCAATATTCTGTATCGTAGAGCAACATTGGTCTTATGGAGTCCTATAGATTTCCCCTTCAATTGGAAGGGAATGCTTTGGTCACATAACACTCCCGTGACCGCTCATCATAGAGAGTTGTTTCATCTGCTATTTTATAGCTCAACTTAGAGGTGTGTTTTAGACAAGGATTTGAAACTTGGATATGGCCGCAATTGCGATAACTATGGAATGACTTTTATGAATAATGTGGATGGCTGTTGGTCGTATTTGTCGCATTAAAGATTGAAAATTTCACAAGTGGTTGCTGTTTGTTATGGTTGAGATATAATTTTCTTGTGTCATATATGGTGCTCGTAAGTGCACCACTATGTTGATCTTATTCTCTAATCTTTATTTAATCAAATGCCTATTAGTTATTCTCCACATGTGGGAAAATTATGGAGGTACGGATGATTAAGGACCAGAAAGGCAATGCTAAGTTTCATGTTTCTGTCCTTTTCAATAATTTATTATTTCTGTTTTACTTCTGTAATGCTATTGCAATTTTATTAAGCATATTATCTTTTGACCTTTGAGATCGCACTCCTATTACAGGGGTATTGCTTTGTTCGCTTCTCAACTAAAGAAGCTGCTGTCAGAGCTGTGAGTGATAAATCTGGAATTATGGTAAGGGTTAGTTGCATTACGTAACTTCTTTTTATGATCTTTCCTGGTGTTTTATGGCTTATGAGCTAAGCACTTGGTGATTGTGCCTCTCCAAAATTGCATCCTTACTTTATAGCTTGGCTATAGTATGCTCATTCTCATTGCGTATGTAGAGGGAAACATGAAAGTATGGTAGTCTTGTTGACGTGATTATTCTGTTCTCTTGTTGGTTTGTTGCAACATGGCAGAATAAAAACTGTAGATAGTTCTCATAGTGGCAACATTTTGTTACTGCTCTCTTTCTAACTTTTGTTCAGGTGGCTGCATTGTTAGATCTTGTTCCTACAGCAGCCGTGCTTTTAATATCTTGTACTGCAATATTATACGATCCACAACATATAGCGTGTATCAAATCTTTATCCCTCTCTTTGGTGCTTAGATGTAAAATGCACTCCTGATGCGTGCCTTGGTAGCCTAGAGAAACCTGGTTGCAACAAGGTCAAGCTTGGGGTTTGTTGCACCAGAGAAACCTGGTTGCAACAAGGTCAAGGAGGTGCGTTGAGTGTTGGTTGGGGGGGGGGGATTGGTTGGAGTCTGTGATGCTTGGAACTTATCATTTTACCCTTCCTTACCCATGTCCACAAACATGATCCGAACATGATATGGATGTGAAATATGGGTAGGATTCGGCAGTATGAAATTGGACACGCTGGCAACTCTGACATGAACTTAGATCTGAAAATCGAAGGTGTAATCTACTAAATTAAGATCTAAAACATTTGGGACTTTTATTCTTCATGTTGGGGCAAAGCAGCAGCACCAACAAGTCAACAACCTTCTCTGATGATTGCTCTGTATATATTTGGTTGCCTGTCACATTTCTTTTTATTCACTTTAATTAATATATTATGGGCTAAGTGGTCCTCAGGGCTTTTGTTCTACCTCTCCCTCTTTGATTTACTCTCACTACCAGATAATTATGAGTGAATAAAGTCATGTGGTATTTTTGACTTCAAAGAGTTTAAACTCCCTTTTGCATTTCCCGAGCAAACTTTATATTATTTATCTATTTATTATGAGTTGTTTGAAGGCAATGTTTAGGAAAATAATCATAAGCTTTTGAAATGCTTATTCTTAACATTCCCAATGAATTAGGAAGAAGTTATCCTCTTATTGTTGCAATTTCTCTGCATTTAGATGTTGCTAATTTGCTACAGTCAGATACTTTGATTGAATGCCGATGATCCTATGACAGTCTTGTCTTGTTTGCAACATTAGTGCCAGAAACATGCTACTTGATTATTAAATAACTAATGTTTACTTACAAAGCCGAGTAAGATATATCATGTGTTTAACAAGTTAGTAGATAGTGGAGGGGATGTCATATTTTCTTTTTACTCGTGGTTGATATTCTGGTAACATGGTAAGATTTTGGAGAATAGAGAGGTATTAAAGGGCTTAAGACGGGGAGAGATGTGAATAGGGAGAGTGGTCCTGGTATGGAATACTAGTTGGGTACGGCAGTTTGTAGTTGTATACAGCTGCCTACAGTAACCAGGATACAGAGAAAAGGGATAGGTGAGAATCGGTCACTAAGATTTCCATATATCTGATAAAATTGAAGGTTCTAAATCTGGGGTTTGAGGGGAAAGTTCATGGATCTGTCAATTGAAGATAAAATCCACCATAATAAGCAAGTTGTGGGTTTTGTTTGTTGGATAGAGGTGAGCCGGTTGAGTTTGCCAGGGCTTCGGGTCTTCTCTGATGATGTACTTTACGATTTTCTCTCTCGTCCATTTTTGTGGCTAGTGAAACAACATTGCTAGCTTTTATCCTCACCTTATCTAGTGCTGTCTGCAGACTCTACACATGACTGATAGGGTTTGAGACTTTGAGGTCTGTCATCATTAGTTTGGGCTTTGTGTTGGGTCTATTACAGTGTCCAATACTCATACCCGTGACTAAAGAAGGTTCTCACATGTTGCAGATTTTAGAGCTGATTTAAGAAATGAGGATCTATATCTCCAAATGTAGCTTAGCAGAAGCTAATTCAATCAAGATATTCTTAGGATTGTTATTGAGTCAAATTCTGAGTTGACTATTTATATAAAGTGTGTCTTTAAGAGTGATCTGCTGAGAAATTTCTTTGGGAACTTTTGATTGGGATAATTTGAGGAAGCTATATTGGTGGTAGGATGTCCAATTTTTTCCTTGATGGTAAGATTACGCCACGGCAATCTTGCTTAAATGGTGTCCCTTTGTGTCACTTTTATTTATTCCCTTTCTTAACAGTGTGTTTGGATAGAGAAAGGGGGAAGGAAAAGAAGGGGAGGGAGAGGAAGGGGTGGGAAGGGAAGGGAAGGGGAGTGGAGGGAAGAATCCTTTTAAATCTCTCCATTGTTGGAGAGATCAATTTCTTACAAGTTAACCTCCATTCCCCCCACCCCTCCAATTCTCTTCTTTCCTAATCTGTTATCCAAATGAAAGATACTCCATACCTCTATTTCCCTCCCCTTCCCTTCCTTTCCCTCTATTTGCTTCAATCCAAACAAAGTGTAAGATTCTCATGTTATTGTGGATTTAGCCAATAATATAATGAGAGATTGAGAGGTCTATTGTTGTATATGAGGTGCAATATTTAAGGATATAGAATGATGGATGTATCAGTCACTAGAATTTTTTATTTGTCAGCTTTTCATTTTATTCTATTTTATATTTTTACTTTGTCTCCTCAATACACCTCTTTCTGGTAGCCAAATTATATATGAAAAGCTAAGATTCATCCTTAGGTGCGAGCTTTTGATTGGATCTTGGCTGGAGTAGGATTCTTACTACTGCAAAAATCTCTCTTGGCACAGGGTGTACAGTAATTGACCGGACGGTTCTTAGTTTGCTTCTTCTTTAAAGTTTGTGTGACTAATGGTATGCTCCAAAAGGCAGTAGCTAAGACCAATGGTTGATATTTCATTCTCTTTATGGGAGGTTGGTAAAGATAATTGACCTTATGAATGAATATCGTTTTCTTCCCGGTGGTTACTTGTTTGCAGATTATTTTTAGGTGGGGTAAGTAAGGGAGCAGAGGTCAGGTTGACTGTTAAGTCTAAATGTTATGATTGCAGAGTATGCTGTGTCAAAAGGAGGTTGTTTTGTTAAAAATGTTACTACTTGATTGATTCTGTGGATAGGTTCCAGTATGGCAATAATTATATGAAAAATTGTGTAGTACACTTTTGGTTTGAAATTGACAATTCATTGTAAATACTTTGTCTTAGACAGGCATGGCTTTGTCCTCTGACATGATTTCGAATTTGGTTGTACCTGTTTTGTGAGCGAGGACTTGGGAAATGGTAGTGCTTTATTGGTGATTTTAATTAACTTCAGCAGTGGAGTTTGGACTTGCTTTCTAGTTTTATTAAAAAAATTACATATAACTTTTGCATACAACTAACACAGCTGTTTTGTGTGGAATACTTAGACTTTTTGGTTTGTATGGTGTCCTAACTGGGAAGTGCTTAGTGCAATTTTTTTTTGAAGAGAAAAAAAACTGCCTTAAATTTTTTTCTACTAAGATGTCTTCCAGAAATGGTCCCAGACAACATTGATTCTCCATTAAAATAATAAAGTTTGAAAAAAAAACCTCTTTAATTACCTCAAAGTTTCTGCTTCCATGCATTGGCCTTCCAGCTATCTAAATGGGATTACTGGTTATAATTATTATATATGTTATTCTTGATGAATATCATATACTAAAACAAAAATTTTATATATTTGACAAAGTTAGTGCCAGGGTTCAAAACAGCGGCCACATCATCACGTATAGGGCGAATTGTAGCGGATTTCAATTCACCGAATCGAGATTTAGCGGTTTGATGTGGGTTATTTAAATACACCACATTTCGGACTGAATCGGCCAGTTTGACAATGTAATTATGAATCCCTCGAGAAATTGCATAAATTCTTCGACTCCATTGAAAAACACATTGAAAAACAGAGAGGGAAAAGGAAAGAGAAGGAGGAGACAGAGAGGCAGGAAGAGGAAAGAGATGGGGGTGCTGGTGATATCTGATATTTGAGTTGGGTGTGACCAGTTGGGAAGGTGGGGGTAGGGGAATTAGGTATAGGACAGGTGTCATTTTATGTACCATTAGTTTTTGCTTTTGACTATTAACTTAAATGGTTGTCTTTACTCTTTAAGTGTTACCCAATATAATTAGTAAGCAATTTATTTTAGAGGGAATTGATTTTGGGCCTTACCAACAATTAAAAATAATTAAAATAATACTGGAATAAATAAAATAAAAAATATCATTTTTTACTATAATTAAATGTTAAAAAATTTAATTTCCAAATTTTTTCAGTAATAATATCAATTAACATATAAAATTATAAAACTTCAATGTGGTCGCCATATCCGCGATAACGGCATCAATTCTGTTACCGCGACACATCACCGGGAGCCAAAACCGTGCCCGAAACCGCATTTTCGGACCATGGTTAATGCAGTTATCTCGCTTATGACCATTTATAGTGATATCATTTATATTGGGATTATAGAGGAAGACCTCCTTGTGTAGTGGCCCAGGGGTCGCCTCGCATCTTCAGGGTGCGAGGTTTGAGCCTCACCATGAACATATCCCCTCCCCTTACCTCCCAGGCATTGCCAGCCAGGATTCTGTGATAGGATTCTTCAGCTGGGCCAGTTAACCTTACCGTATAAAAAAAATTGTCTAAACAGGGATTATTCTGGAATGCCTCAATGTATAGAAGATTTTTGGAAAATTTTCCGAAGTAGAGATTTAATAAGGCTATTTGTTTTTTGTATTATACTATATATGAGAATTTTGTGATTTATTTATTGTATTTTACACAAGCTACTTGGTTTTTTCGTGTGATGGTGTCCACCCTCTTCTATGTCAGCTAGACGGCAGGAAAATTGGTGTTCTTCCATCAACACAGCAGTATTCTCTGTTTCTGGGGAATCTTCCCAAAGGTCAGTTTCAGTTTCATCCTTTTATATTTCAGTCATTGACCAATAACCAAAAGCTTTCTGTCTTTCCTTGTTTATTGTCAATGCTAATATTTGTGAAATGGCTTTTGCTTCAAGATCTTTGTTGTTGTCTTTAGAATTTATGTTTAACCTTTGTTTCTTTCAGAGTGGAGTCCAGATGAATTTGACAGAGTGGTTAGGCAGGTATGCCTCGAAATTGTTGACTGTTTGTAAGAATTGTAACTTTGTATAGTGTTTTCTTCAGCTGTTAGATCAGTTTCTTTTCCTACAGGTATTTCAGGACGTGGATTCTGTAAACCTTGTTATGATGTCTAGTGATGGAGTCACCCCATCTACTCATAAGCAGCAAAACCGCGGATTTGGTTTTGTGCAGTTCTCATCCCATGCCGTGAGTCATCTGCCTTTTTTATGTTAATGTTTATTTTTGCAAGTTTGTCGTTGGAGATGACGGGTGACTTATTATTGCATCTGAATTCATACAGGCTAGAGGCTCAGGTTCGTGAGATAGACACTTGCTTCAGCATGTATTGGGTTGTTTATCAATGAATAGGGAAATTTTAAAATAAGGCTATAAAAAATATTATTTGCTAATAATTGACACCAAATTAATAACTTATTTGGAACCAAGAATAATACAGTATGACTTCCAAAATCTGTGCAATTAGGCATTGAGAATCAGAAATAACACCAAAATTCACTATCCATTTGTCAGCAACTGGAAAATAGCTAATAACCAGTTGTTGCTCATTGTCCAATGGAAGTCTAACCTAATAGAAGATATCATTTTGTTTGGAAAGTTAATTTCACCTCCTTTTCTAGATAAAGTGATAGATGCGACGAATAAGATAAGGAACGCATGTTGTTACAACATTAACATACGAGTAGATTACACCCTTTTTTCAACCTGAGTAAATAGGTCAATCAAGCAAAAAGGGGCTGTCAATTGATTCCAACTATTGTAAACATATTATTGTCACTCGTTATAAACTTATAATCTAATTAGCTAATCCTGAAAAGTTCCACCTGAATCCACAGTATACTTCACCTATGCGAGACTTGAGGGCAATGTATACAAAAGCTCAAGGTGCTCCAAACTTCCAGAGCAATAGAAGTCCTTTTGTTCCTAGGTGCACTTCGGTTCGCCTCTTTGAAGTGAGAGATGCACTATATAAACACTAAATTTTTTTGTCTGAAGTGTTCCTCATGCATTTCTGGTGCATCTCTTTAAATTGCCTTCCCTATTCGCCCAATGCCTAAGGTTACCTTTCTATACACTGCATGAGGGAAGGGCTAGGTACCCAAAAATTTTGTATTTGATTTAGCTTGTGAGAGAGACCTATTCTGTTGAAAAGTTGATAATTGTTTTCCGAGCTTTTTGTTCAATAGAGTTTATATCCTCTCTCTCTCTCTCTCTCTCTCTCTCCCCCCTCAGTTTTCTTATTTTTCGTTCCTAATTACTTCCTTCTTGATATAAAAATTATTAAATCAGCAAATCCTAGAAAGAACAATCCTTTTGTTATCGATCTTTAGATGATGCTGAGCTTAGGGAGCTTTTTCAAGTAGTTCAAATTTCTCATCTTCCTAGTATAAAGCTTAATCACATTGTAATGTATTCCTTGGAGTTTCTGGTAGTGGATGCTTTGTTGTAGATGAGTTTGTTTTACCAATACTGAATCACAAGATTTGTATACTAGTATAAAAATTTGGAGGGTCTACATTGGTTTGTACTAATATTGATGGTGTTGATGATGTGTAAGTGTAGTTGGATTCACTCCTGCGGTCCTGCCCTTGCATTAAATTTCCTGTAATTGATATAATTTAAACTTAGAAATGGAATTTGTATTTTTAGGCTTTTCTTTTGAAAACTACAATATTATAGTTAGACAATGTTGGATTAAAAAAGAAATAAAATAATAATATATGTGCCTACTTTGCCCAACTTTTAGGCGCAATTGTTTTCTTCACTTAATTTGTTATGATGGATGTGAAAAAGATTAATGAAGAACAACAATAAAGTGCACACATATTTATGTGATTCGCTAATATTAATGTTCAAGCTACATCCGTAGACACAAGTAATAATATCCTGCAGAGTTTTTTTCAATACTGATGTGGCAAACCTCCTCATTTTAGTATATACCAATCTGGTAATTTTGCCTATGTATTATTAGCAAGATTGTTTCTGATAGACTCACTATCTTGAAGGGTCATTCTATCTTCCTAGTTAGCTCCCTTGTGTTATTGATGTCATTTCCCACTCTGCTTCAGTTAGCTGAGCTATTTTGCTGTCTGAATGTTCAGTTTTAGTTGCATATTCAGGGTGAAATCCTTGCTTCATGGCGACAGTGAAAGATATTCCTTATGACCTTTTGTCTTGGTATATTGGAGATGTTGCTGACCTGTCAGTATAATGTACTGAATTCTGTTCCCATTGTCATCTTTCATTCTTTTGAGCAGGCTGTCTGTTTCTTAGATACTTAATACCTTTGCTTTTGCAATTGGTGGAGGTCATATATATATAAGGTGTCCGTATCTATTTATTTGATTACGCCTGGAAAGGCAGATAACCTTTATAAAATCTTAGAATGCCTGGAAAGGCAGATAACTTTTATAATCTTGAGAGAGAGAGAGAGAGAGAGAGAGAGAGAGAGAGAGAGAGAGAGACTAGGCTCTTGCAAGCTTGAAATCTTGAATACCCTTTGGTATTGCTGAATCCTAGTATATTAATCCAAATTATCATCTTCCTCCTTAATTTTTATCTTTGATGGTATCTAAGCTATGTAAATTTGTAGCAAGATAGTTTATGCTATAAAAAGATAATGTAAAGCATTTATTGTTTCCAATAAAAAAATTCGCTTGCTGACACAAATCTCTGGCTGATAATCAGTTGCCGCAGAAGCGGTTTAACACCTTAAAACTTCTTTCAAAACTGTACTTACAATTGCTGATATTGCCTTATGGGGGCTCATCAGTTCCACAATCACCTATCCTAAGTTTTATAAATTTGATCAAAGCTCCTTAAAATTCATAATTACAGGCTGCTGGACGTGCATATAGATTGAGCTCAAAATCAGAATTTGTTCTTGGTGGAAAATGCCATCCAACTGTGCAGTGGGCTGAGGAGGAACCTGAAATTGATCCAGATGAATTTGCCAAGGTCGCTTTCTTGCTTGTTTTCTTTTCTTTAAAGATATAGCCCAATTTACATGTTGATTACTCCACATCAGGTGAAGATTGCTTTTATCAGAAACCTTCCTGCAGACGTAACTGAAGGGTTTTTGAGGAAACTGTTTGGACCTTTTGGGGAGGTATGGGCTAACTTTACAAATATTTTAATTAACTTTATTTGTTTATGTATGACGATATTGAAGGTACTTTTTGGAATTTCAGATAGAGAAAGTAGTTCTGTCTAAGAAGGGTCAGTCCCAAGTTGGGTTTGTCCATTATGCTAAAAGACAGGTATAATATCCTTTTCTACAATATGAGAAGATGTACTGTTTATGGATATATGCAGCCCTAATCTCATTGTATCTATGTTAAGTTGGAATCATGCACTAATGTATTTTTGTATGTTGCTGAGTATGGTAAATTTTATGCTTAATCACTGAATAAGATGAAACCTTGTTATCTTGGAGTTAGAGTATATCATAAATGTTGTCAAAATGAACTCTTAATTTTGTATGTCCGAATGTATGAATTTAACTTGCAAATTCATAACATGCATTTGAGGCATACGAATTAAAGATCAATTTGATGTACACAAAAAAAATATAAATATTGTAATATTGGGATTGACCCTTAGATTACTCATCATATGTCCCTACCATGTCAAAAATTCCATTAGCTTATTTGTCATATAAAATCTATAGAATGTACAAGGTTATGTTACCCATTGAACCCAACTAAATGATATTGAGAAACAGGATAACTTGCTAGATCATATCTAAACATTTTGTGAAAACAACTTTCTCTTGGATATAAGCAAAGGTACACACCTTCTGTTGGTGAGGCACACTTGTTTGTTAAGTCCTCAAAAATTATCCCTTCTAACTATAATCAGCTGTAACAAATTATTCCTTCTATCCTGATTTATAGTTGCCACACGCACTTTTGGCACATGGTCTAGTGGAAGTGGAAAAAGAAGAGAGAAAGCGAGTGGGGAGGGGATGTGGTCTAGCATTAAAGAAAACATAGAGAGAAAAAATGTTTAAATGCTATGTTGCAATTATGTTGGGATATCCAAAAAATGGCATTAGTGGCAAGCTGGCAACTAAATTGGATGGATTCCTAGTGAGTACATGCATGTTAGATCGCCACTAATTTGCAAAATGCAGCAACGAAGCATATCTTGCTGTTGTGTTGATGACAAGGCAAGCATAAGCAAGGAAATTGGAAGAACAAAGAAAAGAAAAAAGCATATTCAGTGTAAAAAAGATCAGTACAAAGGAAAATATATAGTCCAATGAATGAGAGAGAAGGGGAGAGGGAGAGGGAGAGGGAGAGAGGGAGGTAGAGGGAGAGGAAGAGAGAGGGAGGATAATAAACAGAAGCAAAAGATATATGAGGATGAAAGATAAATTCTCCTGCAGTCCCAACTAGTGTGCTATTGAATCAGAGTGTGGGACCCTGCAATTAGTGTGCTATTGAATCAGAGTGTGGGACGCTGCCTTTTAGTGGTGGGGAAAGAGAAGTAATAATAAATTAGTTATTGCCAATTAAAAAAATAGGCAACTTAAATTAGGATTAATGAAAAAGGAAAGTGTTCAAACGAAATTGGTTAGAGGGAGTTTTAAGACAAGTTGATATTGGGTATGGTTCTATGAATTGGACATGGAGCTTTTAGATTAAGGACGTAGGAACAAATTTTAGAAGCGTTTCAATTTTTTTGACATGGACTTGGTAACATAAACTTTATCTCAAATTGTTGTTGAAAATAAAATCTCACTTATAGGGCAATTGGTGTGTGAATTGGGAGTTTGTGAATCAAGGGTAGGATAGGGGTTGAGATTTGCGAATTCAACAATCACTTGTTTGATTTGTATTTGGTTTTATTATTGGTAATTGGTCATATTAGTTTTAATCCCTATTCCCATCTCTGATACTCCTCAACCACCCCCCCCCCCCCAACACCCCCTCCCTCCCTCCCCTCTTCCAGAGGTAATAAAATTTATCTCAAATTGCTGTTGAAAATAAAATCTCACTTATAGGGCAGTTGGTGTGTGAATTGGGAGTCTGTGAATCAAGGGTAGGATAGGGGTTGAGATTTGCGAATTCAACAATCTCTTGTTTGATTTGTATTTGGTTTTATTATTGGTAATGGGTCATATTAGTTTTAATCCCTATTCCCATCTCTGATACTCCTCAACCACCCCCCCTTTCCCCCCACAACCCCCCCACCCCCTCCCCCCCCCCCCCCTCCCTCCCTCCCTTCCCTCTTCCAGAGGTAATAAAATCCTTCTCTCTTCCAGAGGTAATAATATCCTTCCCTCTTCCAGAGGTAATTAAACCTTATTTTGTTCCCAATCCCAAGCTATTATTCTTTTTCGAACTCTAAACTCATTTTCTTCTCCTTCACACAAAATAAACATGGTAACTTAAATTCCCACCTCCTCTAGTTTCTGTCCCAAGCAGCAATTCCCACATAACAAACACCTCCTTTGTTGTTGAGCGAAATAATTTCCCACTAGGTGTCCGCGCAAGATTGAAAAAAGCTTAGTTTGTGGCTCATCAAACAACCCAGATTCACTTTCATTTTGTTTTTTAATTTTTAATTTTTATTTTTTTTCATGTACAAAGGTGTTTATAAGACTTTTGTAAAGATTTGGGCCTATTAGCTCGCTCACTTTTTTTTTTGCTAAGGTTCTTACCTAATACTCCATTTATGATTAATTGCAAAAGTCAAAGAAAATTATAGAGTGAGGACCAAAATGGAAATTTTATAATGTATATTTAATTGTTAGTGGATAGATAAGTAAAAAATAGTGCAAGTGACAGTGGGAGAGAGTACTCCCTTTCGTAATTATTGCAACAATTTGACTTTTGTACCAATTATATGCCTAATTTGACTTTACTTTTTACCAATACATAAAAACCATATGTTGCCATGTAAAAAAAATTTAGGATTAATCTTTAATGTATATTTTTACTATATTAACCTTTTATACTTCTTAATAATATATAATTACCAATATTTATGGTCAAAGTTGTGCATTGGCATGTGTGCCATTCAACGTGTTGCAATTATCATGAAATAAAGGGAGTACGTATAATAAATATTAGTGGAAGTGGGTTAGTGGGAGAGAGACAAATTTAAAGTAGTAGTGGGTCTTAAAGCTAAGGAATTGCTGCAATTAATCTGTAATGGATGAAAAGGCTATTGTTACAATTATTCAAAGTATATTACTTGTGTTTTTTTATTAAGTGCAACTTTTTGACCGGCACATTTGTCAAGGTATAGCTTTGACAATTAATATCCTTAGTTGTGTATTAGTAATAATTAAAATAAGCGATATTATGAAAATATACATCGTTATGAATCTAACAACATATTACATAATAGCATATTTCTTTATATGTTGGTGAAAATTAAGTCAACATAAGTATATAAATATTGCAAAAGTCAAATTGTTGCTTTAAAAAAAATAAAAATGGAGGGAGTAATATGCTAATATCTACTTACCTGATTGCTTTCCTTTTCTTAAAAAAGAGAGGGGTGGGCTTTTTTTGGGGGGGGGGGTGGTAAGGGGAAGGGGAGGATTTTGTATTCTTAGGTTGCTTATGAGGTAATGGATGGATATTCTATGGTTGGACAGTCTAGTGAATATATTAAGAAAGCATATGAGTCTTATTGGAATTTTTGGTTAAGGTGATGGAGAATACGGATTTTGGTCCTAGGTCGAGGAGTTGATTAGGGTTTGTCTTATACTCATTGTTTATTTCTGGCCTATTGTTTTTCAGCCATGTTCATTAGTATTAATGGTTGTTTAGTCATGTTCATTAGTATTATTGGTTGTTCAGTCATCTCCATTCATGGTTGTTCAGTTATGCTCGTGTCTGCTGACATGACCGAACACCTATGGATTTATTTTCTTTTGTTTAGAAAATAGATGGGTCATTTCATCATAAAAATTGGTTTACCTAAGGGCTGAAATGGAGTAATGACAATTTTTCTATATGCTGTGATAGGTAGAGGATTCTGTTTTAATTTTTGCAGTTGCCATTTTGCATACTGGTGCTTCTTAATTTTAGCTTTTTAAATAATGCACTCTTTTTTCTAGGATCTTGACAGTGCAATCAAGGGATTGCATGATAGGACAGTCCAAGGGCCAAATTCTGGTTTGTTTAAGCTCCAGGTATTTAGTTGTGCAACTATAGAGATTTTATGACTCATTTTGTCAATTTGTCATCTATAAGTCCAATGAAGTTATTTGCTATTGAATATGAAAATGCATTGTGTATTGACAGGTTGAAGTTGCAAGACCCTTTGAGAAGAACAAGAAAAGAGCCCGTGAAGGATCAAGTAGGGTCGTGACTGACGTGACTCAATCCAAAGTCTTGAAAGCTGACTCTGGTTTTTCTTCAGGTGGCCATGTGTTGAAAGTCCGTGAGGTTTGTTAATCTGATCACGCTGTATTGAACATATTTATATATTTATTATATCGTACATGAGACAATTTTTCTTTGGAATGTATTTTGTGGACTATTTTACCTATAATTGGTATTGCTATTGGTATTGGATATAGTTATGAATCCATGCAAAATCTATGACTGACCTGTGATTGGATTCAGGTATAATATAATAAGAATTTTTGAGTAATACTTCCTCTGTTTCTCAATTGATGCATCATAGGGAAATGTCACACAAACCAGTAAGGAGAGGGAGTGGAGTGATTTACATATTTTCCCATGTGATAAGCTTTAATTATGGTATGTAAAATAAAAGTGGAGAGTTGGTCCCCACTTATTTGGAGTACAAGTTGAGGACAAGATAGTAATCTCACACATAAAGTCTTACTAAAAAGAGAAGTGATGTATCTATTGTGAAATTTTCAAAAAGGAATATGATGCATCTATTGTGAAAAGTCAAACCTTCAACCTTAATAAAGATGTGAATATTCCTTTAATAAACCTATTTCTATTAAGTTGCCATCACACTGGAACCATTGAATCTCGAGAAAGTTAATTATATGTTTTTTAGTGAAGTCAATAGGTCCTTATTCTTACGATGTATTTCATTGTGGAAGATTTCAAATTGCTACTAGATTTTGACAAGGTCTTGCTATGCTTATGTTATAGTTTTGTGAGGTTGGCATCTTGGTAATTGACTTATTTTTTGTGGTTAATGCATTTGAATAATTTGACCTGAATTTGATTATAATTTTCATTCTGTACTTCCAAAACTTACGGAATGTAAACACAAATTATATTTTGCTATTTTATCTTTTTGACATGGATCATTTACTATCAGGAACATGTTGGTGATCCATATGAAGCAGCAGTAGTCTCACTACCTGCTGCTGTACAAGATCGTTTGCTTCGGATCCTACGACTGGATATTGCTACCCGTTATGATGTAAGCATTCATAATATAGTCTCTTAGCATGTGGCGTTTTTGCTTTCTTGCATACAGCTATTTGTGGACCATCTGCTTTCTTGTCGTTTGATAAAGTCTGATATGCAACCTTGAGTCGGGTGATCAAGTTCTGCGACAAGCTTGAAGGATTAAAGCTTACATTGCTAATGAAGAGCATTAAAAGAGTAAATCGACTGACAATAGTCACGATACAGAGGATGGGTGAAACCGACTTTGTGCAGACCTGAATTCTTATTCTTCACCAAACCAAGTATATTAAAATAAACAATGGAGGAATTTACTTAGCTTTGTGCTAGCAATTCATGTAAATTCTCATAATATCATGTCATTGGGCTTCCAAACCTTATAGTACCTATTAGTCTTTAGCTTTTATAATGCATTGGTTTAGAATAGGGATAGTATCTGATCTGTTTGGTTATAAATCTGAGATCTACAACATTCAATGCTGCTTCTTTTTCATCAAACAGCACGGGACACTGCTACATAATGTCCTAATTGAATATGCACTTCTTGCCATACACTGCTACATAATGTCCTAATTGAATATGCACTTCATGGGAGAAATCTCATACAAGTCAATTTTTGTTTTTCTCATAATGAGGTCTCTTCACTTTTTATGCCTTTATCCTGATCCCATCGTTTAATATACCTTTATTCCGATGGCATTGTTTTATGCAGTAATTCTTCACTTTTTTCAGTTTAGTTCTTTGGACATTGGCACCATTTAATCATTTATATTTTCTTCCAATTTTTTGCTGGTAGATTGACATACGATGCCTGAGAAGTCTTAAGGAGATCCCAGAATCAGCTGCGATATCTGTCCTTGATCAGGTTGATTTTTAGTTGTCTTTGTCTCCATTTCTTATTTCATGTGTTATACTAACTGTACTCTCCTGTATGTAGTTCCTGTTATCAGGAGGAGAAGAAATTGACAAAGGAGCATTTCTTGCGGGATTAATTACCAAGGTATACTTGCCTAGATGCAAATCTAAAACCTGTAGTTTGTAGGAGATTTTTTAATACATTTTTTCATTGATAATCTCTCTCACCTGTGACATTATTTTGTTCAGTACCAGATTAGAAGCCTAAGGACAAGTCAATTACCTGAATATACGTCAAGGGAAGATGAATATGTAAGTGCAAGATCAGAATTGGCCAGGTTACCAAGTCGAAGCCAGGTGCCAGTTGTGGACTCCTTTTCTTCTCACGTGGCCACCTCACGGTCAGTTGTATCTGGTTCTTCTCATGCGATACTCATTTTTGCATGCACATACTAATTGAGTAACTAGATGCCTTTATTTACTGAGGAAACGGGCACTACTAGCTTATATCCTGCATGAGAATAAACTATTTGATTATTTATCTGATTAATTTTGTAGCCAAACCTTCACCATTTGTTACATATGGATGGAAAAGTTGGCTGGTACTCTGATTAATTTTGTAGTGGTTATGGAAAACTTGAGCCAATCTGAGCATTTTGATTGTATATATGACGAAATACATAAGAGTAGAAAATTGAGTTTCAGTGCTAAAAGAGTTCTGTTGTGAGGATCTACCTATAGGATTCATCTCCTGTTTGTTGCTGCCCTTAGGTCTGGAAATCCCTGTTGCACCCTTCAAATTCAATGGAGTTCATAAAAGCATATCCAAATTGATTTCCTGCTGAACTTGCCAAATTTAGGCTTTTTGGGGTTGGGGGGGGGGGGTGGGGGTGTGGGTTATGTCACTCAGTATCAATGAGTATGAATGTTGGGATGGGTATGTATATCCAAACATCCAAGTGTCACACACCCTTCAGCCATTGGAGGACTGGCCTAACATTGGACTCAGTGTGGGGACACGCATCTATGAAACATGACTAGAAAAGTTTGGATGAAATTAATTGGGCAATATATTCCTGTCCAGAACTAATAAATTTCTTTTCAAATATTAGCTAATTGCCTTGTGCGTCATTGTTACCCTCAATTCTTGTCCATTATGAAATATGAATGAATTTTGTGTTGTACGGTATTTAGTTATTGAAGTTTATACATTTCTTGTCATTGATCTGCTGTCCATGCATTGATAAGCAGTTATTTTTTTTTTTATGTATACTTTAATCATTTGCGTCTTGTCACAGGTATGAGAAATATTCTCCTAATTTGCCCTATTTTGATTACTCACCATCACCTCGAGCTGGCATTACAAGAACATTCGAGGAAAGGAATACTTCTCCAGTGTACTTCCCAGGTTCATCAAGCTATGGAAATTTGGGATTAAAGTCGCCCATTTTACGCACTGCATCTCACCAACCTACACGACCTCAAGTTAGATTTGATCCTTACACAGGTGAACCTTATAAATTCGACCCCTACACAGGCGAACCTATTCAACCGGAAACTCTTTCACGTGGCGGTCGAAGCCTTTACTGATGGTGATAGAGCCTTTGGGAGAGCTACCTTTTCCCTGGTATTCCGGTGACCTGTGAGAATACATTAGCAAGTTTAAGTTGTACAATTGTGAGAGTTGTACCTGTGAGAGTTGTAGGTTTTTCTTTCAATAGTGTTTTACTTCTGGTCTTTTAGAAGACGATATCAAGTTGTTTTAGTTGTACAAAAGTGTTAATTAATTTAACCAGTTCAATGAAAATGGTAAGAGGTTTTCATGATTGATTGTTTTACTGGTCCAGTATTCTCTGCTGTCCTACTTCACCACTTACAAGTAATTCAAGTCCTAGATCCTGTTAAATTCATTTTCTGTTTTTTTAACGTAGAACCTTTCCGAATAGCAAATCAACCGCTCATTGCATCAACCAAAAATAGAGATGGTTGCACATTGTTTTTGTTATGGTATTGCTTTGAAACTGCCTTTGAGCATTTGACAAGCATTATAGTTAAGCTTACTAGTTTCTTTCTTCTGATAAACTATAAATACGCCAAAATGCCATATATTGTTGTGTTAGTTGCGGGCTTGGGCCTTAGATATCCAGGGAAATTGGGAAGTTAATCCATCTTTAATAGAATTCTTCTACAATAACAGTTGAACTTTCAACAATTACAATTTTGGATTGTTAGAACTTGAAGAAGACGACTCTGGAAAAGATATGAAAGATTGAAGAAGAGCTTCATATATACATACCTCCAGAAGAGATAAATGCAGTTGAATTGTTTAATAATGAACATACATATGCATACGATACAATGTATGATAAGGTCTTACATATTAAGTCATTTGCTTTCTTTGTTGACGGCCCTTGTGGTACATGAAATATTTTTGCAATCTACAATATTTGCTAATGTAAGATTGAAGAGAATGATTGCTTTGGCAATTGCAATTTCTGGTATTGCTGAATCTGGTCTGTTTGGAGGTAAAACTACAATATCTCGATTCAAAATCCCTCTAGATGTTGATGAGATTCCGAGCCTAAGAATTTTCAAACGTAGTGCCCTTGGATAACTTATATGTCTTCCATGACTAATTATATGGGATGAGGAACCAATGGCAAAGCATCAAACTATTAAATACTTTGATAGACTACTAATAGATGTCTGTTCAAGCCAACATAAAGTTGGAGGAAAATTGTTGTCTTTGGAGTTGATTTTTGACAACTCTTGCCTGTTATAAGTGGTGAAGCAAGAATTTTGACAATAGTAGGGCACACCGACCACATAAACAATATAAACTAAAACAAAGTAGAAAAGGAACAAAGACTAGAGAACGTTGTAGTTGCTAGCTGATGTGGCAAGTGCGTTCTCTGTCGGTCAACCTCGTGGATGCTACACCATGAGAAGAGCTTTGCAGTTGTCAAGATTTGTTGCAGTGTCCATATAATTTGAATATCCTTGACTCTGTGTGATCCTGTAGCATGTCAACTAGGTTCTGTGAATCAGTGATGATTGAAATTGAAGTCAAAGCCACGGAAGCAGCCCGCTGTAAGCCTTATAGACACGCTTATGTTTCACTTTAAGTAGAGTAACCAAAACTAGCCCCACCTTTAATTATTGTTGTTAAAGTATGTACCATGTGGTTCAAGACACCATCCCATACATGCTCTCTTTGTATTTTTGTGCTATGAACCATCAGTGAGTATGAAGTTCGTAGGCTCATTACTCCCCTGATTTTGCATGATCGATCTGTTAAATCCATGAGGGTATGTAGGGTCAATATTAGGTGGTCAAGGTGGAATATGTAGCTCCCCTATCGTAGAGGCGAGCAAACCATGTTGTATCATAGCTACCTTGATGATTGCTTCAGTTGTATAAAATGTGACCCTCTCATTTTTGAATAAATGATTATTCCTTGCAACCAAAATTCCTCATAACGTGCTTATAAAATAATTAGCACATCTCAGGTTTTTGAAAAGTTGGATATAGAAGAGAACCTATTCCTTAATGGAGAGGTTCTCATTGATTTCTGAATGGATTCCAAGGCTTCTAACCCTTCAAGTATGCACTGTAGACTTACAAAATTGAAACAGGTTGGAGAAATATTCAATCCCCGAGGTGAGAGATTGACCTTCATAGAATTAGCATTTTTGAATAATTTCCATATGAAGAGTTTTCATTTAAGTAGAATCTTCATAGCCCAAATAAGCTTGTACAAAACATTATCCAAGCATGGTAAGTTAGTAGAAGCTAGCATAGCATAACCAGTTTTGACAGATAAGTTATCTGATTTATATAATTTCCAGTATAGTAACTTATCTGTATTGGACCCTGGTAGCTCCAAGCTAACAATTTTTGAGAAATTTTTGCCAACTACCATTTAAATGATTACTTTTGAGAACAACTTCCTTTTAATTTAATTTTATATTTTTTTTGGAAAAAACTACCACAGAAACACAAAATTTTTTGAGTAGCACTACCACACTTAATTTCAAGCAAGAATCTCCGATTTAGGTGCCTACTATATAAAATTTCAATCAATGACGGTAGAGAAAACAAGGGAATTTCAAACACAATTACATGTATATTGCCTTTAATTTCGCATTGTAGTTGATTTAATTTCTCAATTATTGAATCTTAAAATTAGGGTTCATGGTCAAAATATAGAATTTAGGGTTTTACGAAATTAAGGGATTTGGGGCAATTAAAGCTTATTACCTAATTTAGGGTTAATGTAGAGCAATGTTGTCATTTAAAGGGTTTTTTTCGAGTTTTACAAAATAGGCCCCCAAAACCGATATTCTTATCGGAACAACTAGTGCTAGTCAAAGTGGTCATTTAAAGGGTAGTTGTTGGCAAAATTTCAATTTTTTGAGCATCATCAATCTCAAAAACCTAGGATACTAATTACTAGTTCCAGGACCTACCTCTAGTAAAATAAAATGGCTAACCATCCAATTTTTATCATTGTGGAGGGAAATACTGGATTTGTATTCTAGAAGTTCACAATGAACCCATCTTTCTTTCCCAGCTATTAGATTGGTCCCATTTCCAACTTTCCAAGCCGTTCCTTTCAACATTACATTTCCGGCTTTTCCTATACCTCGTAAACCCCATGAAAGTTTCCCAAGAGTCTGAAACCCGGCCTGTTCCCAAAGAAGGTTATAAAGCATGATTGCCTATTCTTGATAAAAATTGTCTGTGGGTTGTTGATGAGTTTCCATGCTTATTTCATGAACAAGGATTTGTTAAGTGTTGAAATAGCATGTATTCCTAAACAATCAAGGACCTTTGGCAAATGAATAGTAGCTTTATTAACCCCGTGCATTCCTTATTTCCCCAAAAGAAATGTGCAATTAGAGAATGAATTTTTGAGGCAATCAACTGTGGGATTTCCATACAGTTAAGAATATAGGAAGTTGTAGCTATCAAAAGAGAGTTGATTATGACTAATTTCTGGGGTTGACAAAGGTTAGGATTCCAAGAGAGGATTTTCCTGGCAATATATTCATAGATAAATTGGAAATTGCTTGTCTTTTTTCCTTCTTATTATATCTATAAGTACCTCAAGGTGAGAAGTGAACTTATCCATTTGTTGCATGCTTAGTAAGTTTTTGAAACTAGATTGTACCAACAGAACGAGGAATGAGCGCTAACCTTGAAATGTGATTTTCCCAGGTTAAGTTGCTGGCTTGATATTCTGCAAAACCTTGTAATGTTAGTGGAAATCCCTCTACAACTGTGATTAGTAGCTCTAAAAAAGAGTAAGGCATCATCCGCAAAGAATAAATGTAACATCATTGAATTGGGTGCTCCTTGAAATTTTGATACCCTTGAATATGCTAACACTCGTTCTTATTTCCAACATCCTTGAGAGAATATCCATGCAGAAAAGGAAAAGATAAAAAAGAGATAAGAGGTCCATTTAGTAGAACTTCGTTGGAGATCGTAGAGATATATTGACTTATCAATTGAATCTAGTAGTGATTTGGAAACCCATAAGATTTTAGACTTTGAAGTAGGAAATCCAACCGAACTTAATCGCAAGCTTTGCTCATATTAATTTTTACAGCCGCTAAAAAGCTAGAACCTTTATTTTGGTTATTGATCTTGTCTTGAAACTCATATCTTAGAAGGATAGTGTCAATCGTGCACCTTCCTCAAATAAATGCGCGTTGAAAAGGAGAAATAAGTGATGGAGGAACCAACTTCACTCTTTTAGCCATACATTTAGAATTTCATTTGTAAACAGTGTTGTAGAAACTAATAGGATGTAAATGATGTCCAGCTTCCTCTAGGATTTCTTTTTTAGGAATCATGACTAGGAGAGAATGAGTCCACTCTCTTACTAGGAAATCTGTAGAAAAAAACCCCGAATAGCACTACAAACTGAGACTCCGAGTAAGGCCCGAGAAGCAATTAGACATCTGTATTTGAAATTTGGGGTAAATCCGATCCATCTCCTGAAGAATTGTGTCAATCTCATATTGTTGTTCTAAGTCAATTGGAGAATGAAAAAATTGCTTCATATTGTTGCTTCAATGAATACTAGAAGGGGGGGGGGGGGAATTGTAGTATGACGATAGTCAATCTTTTAGCGAAATCAAAATGATTAAACCTAATGCAAAGAGAAATTTTACGTGGAAAACTTCTTGGAAACAAGAAGAAAACCAAAATCACAAGGGATTTTAAATAAAGACTGATGAGTGTCATTTATGGCACTCATATGGTAGCATTTTAGGACGTTTTCCTTCTCTCTTATAGCTTTTCTCTTTAAATAATGCCTTAGTTTCGTTCATTTATGCTTTAGTTTCTTCGTTTCCCTTATTTTGTGTTTTCTTGTGATTTAAGGGTATTTTCGTCTTTTCTACTCTACGCGCTTTACTTTCTTCTATTGTAGGTCTTGTTCGGAGCCTGGGATTTATTTTAGAAGATTCTCCAAGTCTTTTGGATGCTCGGGACGAGACCTCATATCATTTGGTTGCCTAAAGATCAAGCTAAGAAGCAAGCTCCTACTTATGGCTTAGTGTTCTCATGCATCACTCTCATCACATGTCAAGTCTTGGTCATGAACACGCAAAAAAGTGAAGATTTGAAGGTTTCCCCCCTCGTGAGCATCATATGAGAGCGTCGATGAGAAGCATGCTTGTGAGCACAAGAACAAAACCAAGAGACGGAGTGTGTGTGTGTGCGCGTTAAGCCAAGTGTATGGTGCGTGAGCGCAGGAGGGAGCCCATGAGGGGCGCACACCCTGTGGTGCATGTGGTGCGTGCATGCACACCCACCTGTGCATGCA